ATAAGATTATTTCAGATACCTACTCTTATAATTCCTAAAGATACAATAATTTTTCAAATATCTTAAGATTGCCATAACAGATCAATGATTATTGATGTGGAAATAAAAATTTTGGAAGAAGATGATAGCAATAAACTAATTCACATAGCTTAAAAAAGAGAAATTCTAATTTAGGATGACCTTAGATCATGTTAGTGAATATCTAAAATAAAAATAGGATTTAAATAGCAAAACCCATCTTTATAGACAAATATGCCATTGACAGGAAGATGAAGATATGAAAATATTTTCTGCACTATTAATATTTCAAACTTAATTTCTTTTTTATTATTCAAAGCTTTTTTCTACTTTTTCATAGAGTAATCTTTGGAGTATATAAATGCCAGTTAGGAACAGATGATCACTTAAGATATGCATTTAAAATATTTCTTACTTGTGTATTCAACAATTTTTTATGATAATTAGAATTATAGTTGTAAGTTGTTTTTCAAAGTAACGATCTTATCTTTAGTAAAAGTTGCTGAGAGTTGCTCTTAATGGTCATGTTACTTGTATTATTTATAATTGAAAATTTAATGAGTTTTTCTATTGCTATATAATATTTAATTTGCATGTTACCGTTCTTTTAAATATAAATAAAATCTATACGAATTTACTTTATCATATTTATGAAATAGTATGCTAACTTTTTGTATTATAATCTAAGTTAACATACTTGATTAACTTTTCAAAATAAATAATAAAACATAGATGATGTGTGATAGTATGTTGATATGATATTTTTATGATAATGTATCATACCTAAAATGAAAATGAAATAAAAGTATAAAAATTAAAGAAAGAGAATTTAAGGAAAAGAATATCAATTTTGAATTGTTTTTGTACATTAAATAAATAAAAAAGATCATGAATCAACAATGAGAAGCTTAACAAATCCTAAGATTCTAATAATTAATCAAGTCACTCTTAATATTAAATAACAAAGATATTTAAAGGAATCAAGCTGAAGGTAAGAAAAAAATTTAGACAATATTTATCTTCAGTTAAAATCAAAAAAAATATTCATATTCCACTTCAGCCAAAACGATAAAAAATAGATTTATTCTATTCAAATAAATAAATATTAATTAAGAAATAGGTAAACCTAATCATTAATAAATTAACATTAACAGTTTCAATTATCGATTTAATCGACTCTAAATATACTCTTTGCCTTTTAGTATCGGTCCTTAATTATTACCAACTACATTGCAATAATCAATTTATGCTAATATATGTTTTAAAAGAACTATTCACATGCTAAGTAAAAAAAGGATGGGGTGGTTACTTAAAAAAGAAGAAATAAAAGTGAATAAGTTTAAAGTTTAGCAACTCAAAAGAAATAAATCCCTACATTTAAGAACTTCAAAATACCTATAATAAGATCTAAAAAAAGAAGTTTAATTTGGAAAGAACTAACTCATAAAAACCTTATTCTTTAATCATACAGCATAATCAAGAAGTATTATTAAATTATTTTGAAGAAAATGATTAATATATAATTATTGAATGACTTCATCATTATTTCTAAGTGCTATTTCAAAATAGCATCTAATTAAACCAGAAAATTATTTTGTATTGATGAAACTAATGATTATTCAATAAGATTGCTTTATTGCTTATTCACCAAACTATTTTTCAGTTAAACACATATTTTTTTAAATCCTAAAATTTTGCAATCTAATAGGCGAATGTTTCATTCTTATCTTGTCTTTGTTGAGCATACCTTTTAACATCCTCTCTTTTCATATCTAAAAAGTCATCATCCACTTTTATCTTTTCTAATTAATAACTAAACAATCAAATTACATAAATTTGTATTTCTAGAGACTATATTGTCTTCAATCTATTATTAGAAAATTAAATTTACTTTTTCTAATTAAGCCTTTCTTTTCTCATACAAGGATCATGAAATAAGTCTTCAATATATTGATCTTAGACTCCTATATCACTTTTACAAGCTTCTGCCTTATCTGTTTCATATTTTCAAAAGTTGCTCTCTATTAAAGCGGTTACCTTAGGATAATTTTTATACCTCTTATTCAAGCATTGTGAAAGTTCTTAAGAACCTCTTTAAGCTGGGTCCTAAGTACGTTCAACAATTATTACTCTTAAATTTATATCCTATTCTCTTGAAATGAACTTTTATGTAATGGCCAATGCTCTATCTAAAATATTCAATGCTGTCTAATGATCAGTCACTACAAAATTCTAAGCTTCCACGTACTCTTTCCTCATATTATTTGCTGTTAGTTTAAAGCATCAAATCTTCCCTTTGAATGACCACCCTATTTTAACTCATGAAGTCTTGTAAGGATGATTACTTGTTATTAAATTAGACCTATTTCATGTATAAAAACAGATACAAGTTAATTTTTTTTAAGTACATTTTCCACAAGGTTAATGATGTTACTAATCTCTATTTAAACATTTCCGAGCAAAACCTTTAAATCATAAATTATTTTTTATGTTATGCTGATCTTGAAAATAAGTCTTAGGATACTTTTACTTTCATTTTTTTCAAATCCTCACTCAAATTTGAAGCAGCAAAATCTAAATCAATTAAAAATTGAATTGGTTATATAACCTTAAGGTCTTTCTAGCATTTGATAATTATATGAATGTTAAAACAAATTTAGACAGTTTTTCATTTTTTAATTCATCTACTTTCTTACATCTAATTTTGTTTAAACAGACAATCCTAATGACAAAATAATTAGAACTGTTAATTTTGTTAACAGGAAGGGGGAATTATTAATATTCTCTTCCACAATAACTCTTATGAAACAGACTATAAACAAATCACTCATATTTGTATACAAAAGTTAATTGAAATACAAGGAAGATTACAACCTAACACTTAAAGACCATGGAAAATAGTTCGATAACTAAGTAAGAAGAGTATTAGAGCATTTGAAGAAGAT